ACATCTGGATGAGTTGAGTAATTTGTTTAGGTTTGATCAATGGTGGTTGGGCTTCGGATCTAGATGTGGTAGTGACAATCACATTGTTGGCGATTGGATTGCCCTTTTTAGGACAACCATGTAATTTCCAGCATGTCTCCTTATTGTGATTTCTTCTCTTACAATAATCACAATACATTTTTTTACTTGATCGGAATGAACCAGATCCGTTGGATTTATTATAAAAATTGCTCAAAAAATTACCATTGGATGAATTCCCCAAAGGTTGACCCGGTTGAACATTGACCATACTAACTTGTTTGATCGCCTGTTGGCCATTGGATTGCTTGGGAAGATCTGGGCCGTTCATCCCTGGATATAAATTTTTTTCCTTTTCTTTATAATTAGCAAAACCTGGCCGATCCTCCCTCTTTTCTTCCCTGTCTACAACGAAAGCCATGAAATCACCCATTTTTGGTGATTCCAAATGGGTGATTCCATGGAGGCCAGCCTTTGACTCTCGTCTTGGATGGAAGGATAGCCAATTGATAGGCACGACAAAGTGATGGTGGTGAAGTCGTGGTGAGCATCTGCGTTCGAAAGGGCAAAAAGTTGTCATTCAATCCGATTAAAAAATGAATTAACCTGTCCTGTTCTTTGATTCTTTGGTACTGCTAAAGTGTTTCCAACGATCCTCATAAGGGTTCAGTGACAGCATCGAGTTCACAAGAAGAGTATCTGGCTAAGGAACCTGGCTCTGATACCATGTAAGAAGTTAGGATTGGAGTGGCAATAGAAGCAGTTGAACTGCTGAAGAATGCCTAGAAGAATTCTAGAGAGGCAAGAGAAGCAACACTTGGTTGCAGAGTATGCCTGAAAAGAAAAGAAGAGAGGAATACTTTTTTGTATTTTGATATCTTTTATGTAAGAGTTTGTACAATTTATATAATTGTAACAGTGATATGCAAGGAAGTTGAATATACAGAAATAAATACAAATCAACATATAAACGAAATAAAATAAATCTAGCAACACTATCCATACTTAGGCCATATCAAATATTTCCAATCTTCTAAATATGACACGTATCATTATTCACATGTCAACAGACTAGGAAGAAAAAAAGGGTAACAATGAATAAAAAAAAAAGTGAAAGTTGCCATGGAAACAGAGAGAATTTTGAAGTCTTGGTTTCACAATTTTTTTTTTTTTTTGGGTTTATTGATTTTTATGTTATGTTGGTAGAGTAAAGGTTGAGAAGTAGGATTTTTTATTTTTTCTTTTGGGAAAAATCAAAGAAGAAAACAAGCCAATCTTTTTTGGAAGAATTGGAGAAGACAATTATGTGTTATGTGAAAGACAAAAGAAATTATGTTTGACTAAGCTAGGTCTGGTAATTTTGAAAGTTAAAAAGTACTGTATAATGAAAGTTTATATGTTAATTTTTTTATTTAATAAGGGTAAAAATAATTTAGTTTTGTATGTTTCTTGATAGGTCCCAAACACAGCGTGTATAAATGCTAAGATAACTTGTGTTCTCTTCGGGTGAGAACTTACCACAAATTAGTTTCCTCTTTGAGTGAGAAAGTACCACAACAACTCAGATAATGTTTTGCTTGATAATTCATTACCAACTTGTGGCTACTTAAATAGCAAAACCACTTAACAACCCACGTACAAGCAAACCGATACAAAAGGAAAATTAGAAGCTAACAACTGGACTCAAACACACGTAAAACAGAGCATGCAAATACACTTAAAAATAGAGCATAACGGAAATAACATGCAGCAGAAAGATAAACGTGCAGCTTGAAACTCTCTAACTGATCACAACTTCTTCTACGTGCATGCAACGTCTTTCTCATCCATGCAAAGTCGTGGCCTATCAATACCTCCCCCATCAAGTGGATCTTTGTCCTCAAGGTCCATATTCAAAAACATCTCCCGTAGCTTTTTTTTTTTTTTTTTGGCTCCCACGTTGCCTCCTAGGCTAGAAGATATTTCCATTCCATTACACTAAAATTTATCCCACTTCACCTCCACCTTGGTCAGCCACCAATGTCCGTTGATAAGTAATTTCCTCACATATTACATTACCTGCATGCCCCTCTAAGAGTAATAGCTGCGGTTTTTGACATTTGTGGCCTGTTGTAAAATGTTCATTGCAGTTGATATAGAGACCTTGTGCTCTCTTCCTCTGCATTTCCTCCCATGATAATCGCCTAATCGGATCAGCAGGTGCTGCGGGAGCTACACAAGCTGCTGGTGGAAGAGCTAGAGGAGCTCGTGCAGGTGGGGGTGGTTGTAAGAACTCCCACTGGCGTGTGAGTTGATCGTCTCTCATCCATGCCAAGTTAATGGCATCCTTGAGGGATTGCAGTTTAAACATTCTAATCCCATCGGCAATTTCAGCGTTCAAGCCGCCCATGAATGTCCCAACTAGAGCCTTTTGAGTCCATCCTCGTACCCGATTGCCCAAACGTTTAAATTCTTGCTGGTAATCACGTAGAGAGCCTGTCTGTATGATTCTCGAAAGAGCTTTATCAAAATCTTCACACTCCGAAGGCCCAAAGTGAGCCCAAAGTTCGTCTTCAAAATTTGCCCACAAAAGAGCGCGCCCTTCCTCTTGGAATGTCCTACGGATCCTTGCCACCATTGGTTGGCCTCTCCTTCCAAGTGGTAGGAGGCCAAAGATACTTTCTGTGCTTCGGGAGTATTCTGGAATTCAAAGAATTGGTTCACACGATTGAACCACTCCGTCGGATCATCTCCTAAGAATCTAGGAAATTCAAGCTTCGCTGTCTTGGAGGAGACAACAAGTCGTCCCCCATTGTGGCCTTCACGGTGTTGGTTGCCATGGTTTGGAGGCTCCTGGTTTGCAAGCAGTACATCAGAGAGACGGTTAAGAGTTTCTTCCAAATGTCGTAGCCTGTCCGCCATGCCGAGCTCCATCCGGTGTAGCCTATCTTGCACTTCACCGAGCCGAACCTCTAACTGTTCAATATGCTCTTTATTGGTTTCCATAATAACCTGCTCTGATACCAATGATAGGTCCCAAACACAACGTGTATAAATGCTAAGATAACTTGTGTTCTCTTCGGGTGAGAACTTACCACAAATTAGTTTCCTTTTCGGGTGAGAAAGTACCACAACAACTCAGATAATGTTTTGCTTGATAATTCATTACCAACTCGTGGCTGCTTAAATACCAAAACCACTTAACAACCCACGTACAAGCAAACCGAAACAAAAGGAAAACTAGAAGCTAACAACTGGACTCAAACACACGTAAAACAGAGAATGCAAATACACTTAAAAACAGAGCATAACAGAAATAACATGCAGCAGAAAGATAAACGTGCGGCTTGAAACTCTCTAACTGATCACAACTTCTTCTACGTGCATGCAACGTCTTCCTCATCCATGCAAAGTCGTGGCCTATCATTTCTCAAATTTTTTTATTAGCGGTATTTTAGACTTTACACAAAAAGTTTTGCAATAGGTAACGAAACTAAGTGATGGATGTTTGTTTCAGGGACTAATTTGCTACTGAAAAATCAATCTGTCCTGAATTGCTACTTAATGTAAATACCATGACGTCGGGGTGTTTACCTCTTCTAAAATCACATCCCACATTGAGGCCACAAAAGTTATGAGTGCGTTTGTTTCCCTATTTATCCCTTATTTATTCGTATTCCAAATCAAAATACATATTTTTTTTAATTCTCAAAATCCTATCATGAATTATTCAGCTATTTTTAATTTTCAAATCCTACTTCGTAATAACCACCCAACTCTATCTAACAATAATATTTAAAAAATATAAGCAACAGAGCATGAGTAACTAAGATTTGTTGAGCTATGCCACGTAAAAGATTTGATCATCTAAAGGTGATCCGACAAATGCTCCTATTACACTAGTAGTCTCTGAAGTATGATAACCAATTCTATAGCATCTATGTCAAGAATTCAAGTACTATATACGTTATTAGTTCGATCCTCGAAAAATTAGAAGAAGAAGGGATTTTTTTTAGTTAGATGCATGAAATTAGTTAAGCATTTTCTTTGAACAAAAATAGAACCTGAATGCACTGTGTTATTTCTAGTACCAAATCTTCCTCCTAAGTTGAGACCTATCATACAGATAGATGACGATGAACTAATAAGTTCGGATTTGAATGAGCTCTTTAGCCGAAAATAAAATTAGCGAGTGGCCCAGCCGATTAGCCCTCCACTCTATATGTTATTACACCTAAGTAGCCCCCTGCCTACAATGGCCTTTGCCTAAATCCATCTATTTTGTTTGCTCAACTTCAGAAGGAGAGTGGTGTTATTTGAACTCCAAGAAAACACTTTAAAGTCCATTGTTAAATTAAATTTATATGAAAATTAATTTTTAAAGATATTATAATTTATCCCTAATCTAAACCAGTAATCCAAAAAATTAAATCTATTTTCTATTGCAAATCTTCTAAGTTATAGGTTATACTGTTTTAGAAGGAATTGTACTAAATATTTACAAGTTATTCAGGATTTCGTCACTAGGAGAGTTAGAGATCGACTCATGAAAGAAAGTTACAATTTCTATGAACTATTTTTACTTGTCAATAACCTTTGTGGTAATTTCAATTTAAAATATGCATTTAATTTCAAAAAAATCAGTGATGACGAATTTATATTTATAAGTTACTATTCTTTGCCAAAACAAAAAAGTTTTAGAGGATTTTTCTATTATTATTGCGTTCAAGACAATTTAATAATGCAATAAAACAAATTATAAGTGATTGAGTTTACTATTTTACCCTCTATAAATTTGTATATAGGGGCTAGTTAAATTAAAAAGATGTTAATAGCACCTCTCTAAAAATAATTAATTTTACCCTTTTTTGATTTTGATTGCATTAACCGTCATATTAAACGGTTGTGGGTGTGGGGTGATAGATTCTGAAACTGGGGAGACTATTGTCTTTTCCTTGCTTAGAGGTGTCAATTTATTTATATTTTTCAAAAAAGTAAAGCAAGTCCCCGCGTTTGCTGCCTCTCAGTCTCAGAGTCTCAATAAACTCACTCACTGGAGCTACTCTTATTCAGCCATCAACCGCAAGAGACGAACTTAATCTTGAGCATGGACCTTGACGACTTTGATGAACTGGATGACAAGCCGACTCAAGTTCCTCGAGTCAAGAAATTCTTGCCGAAATCCAGCCTCAATAAAACGGTTCCAAAACCTGAATCACCGCCACCAAAACCTGCCCCACAACCACCGGATGTCTCAATCTTGAAGAAACGGAAATCCGAAGAAAATTTAACTTCATCGACATTAACTGTGCATCTTTCACCGAAGATTGAATCTTCGGCCTTGAATGGTGCTGTCAAAATGGAGACGAAACCGCTACCAGATGTCAGAATGGAACCGAAAACGGAGGAGCCGGTGGATTCAGACAGTAATGAATTAGAAGAAGAAGAAGATATGATTGTTCGCGAAATTGATGTATTTTTCAATGCTTCAATCGATGCCGATACTCAGGTCTCATGTTTGTTACATCTTTTATTTGATTTCAGTATATTTATTATTTGTTTTTAGTTGCTAATAGCTATAACTAAAACGTTCAGTTATTAGTAATGCAATATCCATTGAGAGCATGTTGGCGCCCGTATGAGTTGGATGAGAGATGCGAAGAGGTGTGTTGTATTATGCTTCATTACATTTATTTATTTATAGAACGGAAATAGAGATATGCGTTTCGTTCTTTTTCATAGGTTAGGGTTAAACCTTCGACTGCAGAGATAGAAATGGACTTGTCAATGAATGTTGATTCGAATAATTGGGACAGTGACAGAGCTATCAGGGTTAACATAACGAAGCAGGTTTGATTGCCTCTGAAGTTGCATTTGGAAACTAAAGTTCAATTTATGTATAGCTTGTTTGATTATGGAGCATAATGTCTTATTTCATGGTTTTTCTTAGACTTTGTCTTCTTCATGGAAACCATCTGTGGCAGGTGGCTATGCTGTTGGTGTTCTGGTGGGAGATAAGGTATTTAACTACTATATTCATTATGCTTTAAGGTTAGAAGCGCTTTTATGAAAGCAATGGTGCTAACTTTGTCTTTAATGTGTTCTTAGTTTAGGGTAGATTGACCAACTTTTTTCCTCAAATCAAGGGAGTTATGTTTCTAACAAAATTGTGTATCTCCAATTGCAACATCTTAAGGAATTTTAGTATTTGCTGAGAAGAGATTTGAAGCACTTTGGTGGATGGCTTTTGAGCCAATTGGTAGATGAAATGAAATGCTATTTTGATTAGGTTTGCAAAGACGCTGTATATAGATTGGCTTGTTTAGAGAGCATTTAAGGTCTTGATAGAAATGTTAATGTTTGATGTATGTTCACTTTGACTTGTGAATGAGCCAACTTGTTTGGAATTTATATTTTATAGTGGAAGAAAGAGTTAAGTGATGAAGGTTAATGTATGTAAAGTAAAATTTTCAATAACTGTAAGCTTGGTAGACTTGAGGTGCTTCACAAGGTCTTAGGTCTTTATATAGTTCAATTTATTGGCAGTGTATTGTGTCTACAAATCTTTTAGCATAATGACTGAAATGCTCCTTTTATGACCTATGACTTAACTATCATACTCTTGCTTGTTATTAGCAGATTTGTATCTGTTCAGAACTAAAAAATTCAATGGTGGCACATAAACATGAACCGTAAAGAGTTGTGTCTGCTTTTGAACTAAATACCTTATGCCACTAGTGTTACTGGATATGCAATAATGCCATTCAACTTATGCAGATAGCTGTTCTAACTTGTTTCTGGTGTGTAATGTTGAAAGTCATCAAAGGATTTGGCCTCCCTCCTTATAGAACATACTTGAGTGTGCAATGTATTTTTCCCTTCTTGATTGGACTCCAGTTGGTTTTCTGTTGAAATGGTAAAATCCAATGATAGCAACTAGTTGAGGCTTTGCAATTAGCTCTAGCAGACCATATCTTTGACCTCTAGCTAGTTTGGTTCAAGAATTATGGATTTTACAAGCATAAATACTGTGGGAGTAGTAGTTTATGCTTTTGATTGTATGATTACATCTTTGATTTGTTCTTTTGCTCGATCTCAATGATTGCCAAGGCTGTGTCTATAGAATGTCATTTGTGCTTGTGCGTGCTAACATCCTTTCTTTTTTCCCTGCCCATCTCTTAGTTTTAGTGTTCTGCACAAAACATATCTATTTTGGATTACATGCAATCAAAATTTTTTGGTTTGTTGCATGTAACGCTTAAGGACCTTTTCTACATTTAAGATTAAGATATTTTGTCCTGCAGCATCAGTTTATCTGCTGCTTAATGAGTTAATGTTGGTCTATTGTTGCCCTTTGTTTTAATTATATATCTGTATAAGTTATACTTAACCTTAAGTATTGTAAGAGACCTATGTCTGTTTTCATCTTGCAGTTACACGTGAATCCTATTAATGCAGTTGTGCAGCTTCGACCATCAACAGATCAATTTAAGTCTGGTGGCTTAAAAAGGAAGAAAAATGTCCCAAGCAATGCAGAAGTTGCTGTTAAATTAGAAGCTTCGAATGAAAATAAATCTGTTGGTCCATCAAAGAAACAGGTAATCTTTCCTCTGTCATATATGTTGCAGGTATGTACTCTTAAAAAGAATTTTCAGTATAGAGATCTCACTGTTTTCATCGCGAGAGCATCTTAAACATGCCCAGACAATAAACCAGAAGACTGCTTATTCAATTTTCCTTCAGCAGTTTGCATCATTGTATATAGTCCACATTGCCAATATGAAAAAGGGATTAGTAACGAGTGTCATACCATAATTTGTTGTGATGCATTCTGAAAAGCCATTGCCTCATGCTAGGTCCACCAAAATATCCTGGACTATGTTATGTTTCTTGATGGAACTGAATTGCACTAAAGGATTCACGTGGAAAACTATTTTGTTTGGACCAAGGCTTATTTAGCTATTTTGTATGTCCTTTTTTGTCTGCTCCAATTGCTGGTTGGTCTGTTATCTTTTCTTGTCTATATTTACAATGCTTGAGGTTGGTCTTATTAGTTTCTGTGGTTCAGAACAAGCAGATGGAGGGTTCTGTTGAGCAAAAAAGAACAAATGAGGAAGAGGTATGTCTGTTAACTGTGCAGTGCTCCCTCTCACAAGCATTTTTCAAACTTCTCTCTCTCTCTCTCTTTTTTACAAGAACAATTGGACTGTTAATTTGCAGACTGTAAAGTTAATTAAAGCTTATGTTGTTCATTTATATTGTTTATCCTTTTCATCTAGGGTTGGGTTCCACTGAAGTACCATGGGTCAAAGAGTGATTTCTCAGCTAGATTCCTGCAGAGAATGTTGGCTCAAGAAAATTCTCCTTTACACTTCACAGTGAACCCGTATGTAGTTTATGCCCACTTTGGCTACTATTTCTGCAAGTTGTTTCAGATTATTTCGTTTTGGATTGTTATATGAATTGATTGTATAATTTTGATATCTGTATGATGAATACCTCTGACCTCAACCTCCCTTTTCACTCACAATGCAGAACACAAGCCAAAATAATAGCAGCAACTCCAGAACACACAATATTCCAAACCACAATCAATAACAAGTAATAAATTAAAAACAAATAACCAAAGAAATGGCAATATTCATTAACTATATCTGAATCGGTAAAAGGTAACCAAAAAGAGAAACAAAGCGAAACAAAAAGAACAAACTAGACTTCGAGGGCTAGCTCCTCCCAGACCCTTTTTACCCAAATATTCCGAATGATCCCTCACACACACACCCTTAGTCCTTTATTCCTGACACTCAAATCCTAACGAACTATCCAGGCCACCTGTCCCCAAGTTGATTACCCTTTTTGCCCCCTCTTTTCCTTACGTTTGTACCATTTAGTAACGACGGGTCCATCAATACCCTCCCCAAGGAATGCCACCTTGTCCTCAAGGTGGAAAGCAGGAAACTGGTGGCATAAGGATTCATATTCCTCCCAAGTGTTATCGCAAGCTAGTAGGTTCTTCCATTTGATCAGCATCTCATAGCTCCCATTTAATAACCGGCGTTTTAGAAGTGCCTGTTCAGGTTCAGCTCTAAGTACCATATCTCTGTCCAGAATCTCTGGGAGAGGTCGTGAAGGAATGGGATGGGAAGAGACCTTTTTCAGTTGAGACCCGTGAAAAACATTGTGAATTTGGGCTGTGGTTGGAAGTTTCAATTTGTAAGCCACCTACCCAATCTTCTCAATGATTTCATAGGGGCCGTAAAACCGAGGGCTGAGCTTCTCATTAGGTCTCTGTGCTAGGGACTTTAGCCTATACGGATGGAGCTTCAAATAAACTGAATCCCTTACATCAAGTTGAACCTCTCGTCTCTTACCATCAGCATACATTTTCATCACATTCTAAGCCTTGTCAAGATTGCTCTTTAATTCCTCCAAAATCAGGTTTCTTTCTGTTAGGGGCTCATCCATTGCTTCCACAATTGAGCTGTGTTCGGTGTACTTAAGAAAGGTAGGGGGGTCTCTCCCATATAATGCCCTAAATGAAGTCATCCCGACTGATCTGCTGTATGTAGTATTGGACTAGTACTCTGCCCAGGCAAGCCATCGAGGCCATTGTTTGGGTTGGTCACTCACCAAACATCTTAAGTACGTTTCAAGTCATCGGTTGGTGACCTCGAATTGGTTGTCTGACTGAGGGTGATAAGTCGTGCTCATGTGGAGCTTGGTATCTGACAGTTTGAACAATTCCCCCCAAAACACGCTCATAAATAGACTGTCCCGATCAAATACAATGGTGCAGGGAAATCCATGTAGCTTAACCACATTAGTGAGAAAGAGGGCAGCTACCCCTTTAGCTGAGTACGGGTGTTGTAGTGTAATGAAATGACTATATTTGATGAGGCGATCTATCACCACTAAAATAGTGTCGACTCGCTGAGCCTTTGGGAGGCCCGTTATAAAATCCATGGATACGTCCTCCCATATTTGAGAGGGACCTAGTAATGGTTGTAGTAACCCGGCTGGTTGAAGGCAATCATGCTTGTTTTGTTGGCATGTAAGGCAGTCCTATACAAATAGCTAAACATCCCTTTCCATTCCTTCCCAATAAACTACCTGTAATAGCCTCTTATAAGTGTGTAAAAACCCTGAGTGACCTCCCATAGGTGAGGAGTGAAACTCTTGGAGAAGAAGTTTCACCTAGGGGCTTGATCTCGGTAGAACTATTCGATCATCGTAGAACAATTGGTGCCCCACCAATCTGAAATGCGGGTGTCTTCCGAGATCAACTATCAAGTCTTGACTTATCTTCCGAAGTTTGACGTCTACTTGAACAACTTCTTCCCACTCAATTTGGCTTCCAAAGTAACATGTGGATATTGCATTACACTCAACAAGTTCTTCTCTTCTAGACAAGGCATCAGTAGCTCTGTTTTCAAGGCCTGGTTTATACTGGATCTCAAAGTCTAAACCCCAAAGTTTGATAATCCATCTGTGCTCTTCCTCGTGCAACCTCTTATAATTGAGATAATGAAGGCTTCGCTGATTGGTTCGGATGATGAAATGACGATCCAATAGGTAGTGTTCCATTTTTGGACAGCCAAAACTATTGCCATGAGTTCTCTCTCATAAATCGATTTCAATCGGGACCTTGGAGACAACCCTAGGCTAATAAACGCTAACGGCCTTCCCTCCTATGTTAATACAACCCCCAACCTTTGATCAGATGCATCGGTTTCAATAAAAAAGGTCTTCGAAAAGTCCGGCATAGCAAGGATAGGAAGTGAAGTCATGAGTTATTTGAGTTCATCAAAAGCTGCTTAGGATGCTTCAATCCAGTGAAATGCGTTTTTATGGAGGAGGTCTGTCAGTGGCCTTGCTCTTGCTCCCCATCCCTTCACAAATTTTCGCTAGTAACCAGTCAATCCTAGGAACCCTCGTAGTGCCTTGATATCCCTCGGAATTGGCCACGCCTGGATACATTCGATCTTGGCAGGGTCAATAGCAACCCCTTGAGTTGAAATTAAGTGCCCTAAGTACTTAAGTTGTGATTGCATAAATTTACACTTCTTGTTAACAACCAATTGGTGCTGCTCCAAGATCTAAAACATGATCTCGAAATGATCCAATGGATCTCTAAGTCAGTACTGTAGATCAGGATGTCGTCGAAAAAGACTAAAATTAACTGCTGGAGGTGGGGTTTGAATATGTTGTTCATGAGAGCTTGAAAGGTCGATGAGGCGTTTGAGAGTCCAAACGGCATAACGAGGAACTCGTAGTGCCCTTCATGAGTCCTATAAGTGGTCTTATGAGTATCATCCTCCTTCACTCTAATTTGGTGGTATCCCGACTTAGGGTTGAGCTTGGGGAAAACCGTGGCTCTACCCCAACTCATCAAACAACTCGTCAATAGTTGGAATGGGAAACTTGTCTAGGGTCGTTATCTCATTCAAGGCCCTATAGTCGACATAGAATCGCCATATTCCATCTTTCTTCCGAACCAACAACACTGGGCTCGAGAATGGACTTTTACTGGGCTTGATGATGCCTGACACTAACATCTCCTTAACAATGCGCTCAATCTCATTTTTTTTTTTATAATAAGGGCATCGGTATGGTCGGATGTTTGATGGTTTACTATCGGGTTCCAACTTGATGGTATGGTCATGAATTCTTGTCGGTGGAAGTCCTATTGGGGTTTCAAACAAAGTTTCATGGCGTTGTAGCAGTTCCTGGACCCTTATGTCTTCCAATTCTCTGTCCTCTAATTGCGATTGTAGACTGTTAAATTCGATCAAGTACCCTGGACCTTCTAATTGCAGTGTTTTTAGCAGCCCCTTAAGTGACACCATGGTTTTGCTTAAGGACAGATCTCCTTTAGGGGGCTTTTGGCTGGGGGTTATGTGGGATTACTGGAGTTAAGTCATCTTATATTACTTTATTATCATGTTTGGTTGTCAAGTAATATAAAATACTGGTAATCTTAAAATACCAATAGTGGTTATTATTGGTAATATTGGAGGTAATCAGATTACTTCCATTTTCTTAGGTATTCTAAGATTACTAGGGTTATCTTTTTTTATTACAATTCTATCCCTTATTAGTAAAATTTTAGGACAATAATGCCTTTATTTTTAAATTTATTTACATGAATATGACTTTTACTATTTCACCCCAATTAATTAACTTTTTGGACAAAATTACCCTTGAATTCAAAACAAATTGCAGCTCACCCAAGCCACCACTCCCACCCACCTGTCGCCAGCAACCACCGCCGTCGAAATGGCGCACGGAAGGTCGAAAATGGCTGCCATGCGTCGATATGGCCATTTTCGGCCAGATGGTCAAATCGTGCCAGATCGACGACGGCTAGATCTGTCACGTCTGGCCATTTCCGACCAGATCTCTGGGCGAAAATGGCCATACGGCGCATGGAGGCCATTTTCTGTCTTCCGTGTGCCGTTAGGTTGCTGATGGCCGACAATGGCTGGGTTGGTGGGGGTGCTTTGTTGATTTTTCAAACTTTTATTAGGGGGTTGTTTTTGCTAAGTTTTTAAATGCAAGGGGTTATAATAATCTAAATAATAATCAATATTAAAAAATAATATAATAATAATATTTAATCAGAGGATAATTCAGTAATTTTAATAACATACGCATCAATTTATTCCTCCCAACCAAATATATTAATATAATGTACCCGTCAATTAACCAAACACATTTTCTTAAAGATTCCTAGTAATCTTCAAGGTAATCTAACTTTCCAATAATCCAACATTCCCTGAACCAAACGCCCCCTTAAGAGTAACTGACTTACCAGCCAAGTTGAACCTCATCACCAAAGTCTTCCAATTAGTCATTGTTTCCCCCAGTGTTTCCAACCAAGCAACTCTTAGGATGACATCTACCCCACTCATTTCAAATGGAAAAAAAGTTCTGGACCACCATGACATTTTGCAATTTCAATTGAACTCCCTTACATTCCCCACTGCATCTAACATGGTATCCATCACCCACTCTCACCCCAAAAGCCTTCGTACTTACCATTGGAACTCTCAACTCCTCAACCACTTGCCGATGGATGAAATTATGTGAGGCTCCATTGTCAATTAGGACGATCACCTCTTTACCATTGATATCCCCTTTTAGCTTCAACGTATTTGGACCATTAATCCCGACAACTGAACTGATCGAGAGCTTTGCTTCGTGTGGTGTTGGATTCTCTTCAACAATTGCTTCCTTTTTATGCTCATCTTTACCGTCTTCCTCTTCATGTTTTTCTATCAACATAACATGAAATTGTTTATCACCACACCTATGGCCTGGAACGTATTTTGCATCACAATGATAGCACAATCCCCGCTCTCTCTTTCTCTGGATTTCGGCTTTGGTTAACTTTTTGAATGGAAAGTCATGTCAGAAATTGTTAGATCGGAAGCTAGATGCCGGAGTTGACCCTGAGCTGGAGGTATTCTCGGTGAAGCTTCGTCTAAAAGAGGGTCGGAATTGGGGATTTTTTTGGCTAAGTATTGAGTTGGGTTGGGTTATATTAGATTGGCTGTTGTTGGGTTGGGCTTTGCTGTTCTCATTGGGCTTAAGTGAATTAGTGAATGGGTGTGGCCCAAAAACATTTCTCCCCACTTTTCCTTGTTGGCCCAAACCTACTTAGGCCTCATTAAGCACCTGGTTTCTTTCTTCCACCCTTTGGGCCAGAAGAGTCAGTTGGACCAAAGAGTTGGGTTGGCTAAGTATATTGGGTTGCTGGAGCTTGATCTTAGCATTAACCTTAGGTTTCAACCCGTTCAGAAATGCGACTATTAGGACTTCTTCCCTCTCGCCTCTTGTCAACGCTGCAACTTCTTCAAATCGCCGGTGGTAGTCCAACACTGAGTTGATTAGCTTCGTCGACATTATCAACTCAAAGGGACTGATTTCTTGAGTGCCACTGAATCTCTGTGAGAGTGCCACTTTAAAAGCCGACCAAGTCATCGCCAAAGTTCTGGACTCTGTCCATTGGAACCAGTGAAGGGCTTCACCCTTTATACACAGCGTTGTGGAAGAATCCTTGTTCTCCTCCGTAATCTGATTAATGGAGAAATACCTCGCAACCCTAAGGATTTGCTTGGGAGGTTTTTTTTTTTTTTTTCACTGGTTTTGAGAGGTTTTTAATTAGACTGGTTTTGAGATGTTCTAAAACCATTATTTGCCAGATTTTTTATGCAATGGTTTTGACTGGCTTAAAAACCTCCCATAACCAGTGTAGTATATTTTTGAGGGGTTTATAAAACCCCCCAAATTGGGGTATTTTGGTTGGTTTTAAAATTTTATTTCACAAATAGCCTATCCACTACAAAACTATCTCAATTATATCCAAAAGAAAATTTTAACTATATTATGCGCGTCTCCAACCATATTAAATATAAAATAACTTTAAGCAATCATAAAAAAAAAAAAATGATTAAAATCTCATTTCTAGATGCTTTCTTGAAGAAGTGGAGCCACAATTTTTCAATCATTCTAGATGCTTCCAAGAATGGCGAAGAAGGATAAAGAAACTTTATTACAGTTGAAGTTATAAAATACTAATAAATAGAAAACAAATAAAGAACCTTTACCTTGTAATTATAAAAACAAAACTCCTAAGTACTGGTTGAAGTTGGGGTACTTTAATAGGCATATATGTAAATTTATCATTTTAAAAAACTGTTAAAACCGCTGGAAAATAAACTCTCAAGCACAGGTTGGGTGTTTTAAAAACTGTTAATAAAAACCCCTCAAAACCGCTACGGTGGTTTATCCTCATAACTGTTATCATGAAACTTCCAAGCGGACCCTAAAAATCCACCCATAGGGGTCTTTGCCCAAAAAAATCGGGAGCTCCAACCTTTATCCACCCCAGTCTCTCTTGTTCCCTCCCTCTTCGTGATGGTAGCCACCATAGTCAGGTGGTGTTGGTGGTGGTGGTAGTTGTTCATTCCCTAGTGGGCTCTTCTGTCATGTTGGTTTCCTGTTCCAGAGTGGTCACCTTCTTCCAGGACCACTTGTCTACGGCGAACTTCTTCTTCTTCTTCATCCTTCAGTCGCATCCAGTTCTGCATTTCGACCAAGATCTCTCTCGTGGAGGTAACATTCTCTGTCAGTCTGGTTATATCTCTTTCAACATTATCTACTCTACTCTCCATTCTGGTGTTAACCATGCCTCAATGAGTGACGGCTCTGATACCAGTTGTTGAATACCTCTGACCTCCTCATAACACAGAACACAAGCCAAAATAACAGCAGCAACTCCAGAACACACAATATTCTAAATCACAATCAATAACAATTAATAAACCAGACAACAAATAACCGAAGAAAAAGCAATATTCATTAACTATATCTCAATCACTAAAAGGTAACCAGAACAAAAGAGAAACAAGAGAAACAAAGTGAAGCAAAAAGAACAGACTGGACTTTGAGGGCCAGCTCCTTCTAGACCCTTTTTACCCAAATATTCAGAATGATCCTTCACACACACGCCCTTAGTCCTTTATTCATGACACTCAAATACTATCCAAGCCACCTGTCATTCCACTTGTCCCCAAGTTGATTACCCTTTTTGCCCCCTCTTTTCCTTACGTTTGTACCATTTAGTAACAATGGGTCCGTCACTTTATGGCAATCTACAGGTGTGAATATGTTAGCTCTTTATGCCCTGGAGCATGTGACAGTAAAATTAAATCCAAATGCCGTTCAAGCAGGTATGGTCCCTTTTCTAATCTTTTAATTCTTTTAATGACTCTTCCGTGTCCATGAAGGTGATATAGCTATTATGCACAACACCATGTATTTTTGTGTGTGTTTATTGGTCATTTAGCTGTTGTGCACTAGACTTGTATGTATTCTTTATTTTGTGTTGGTTGGTATGGACATTTGTGTGCGGGAAGCATGTACGTTTATGCATTGTGTGTATGGATATGTGATTCTGTGACGCTGTTTTTATAAGAGAATGACAAGTGAAAAAAACATCAGTTAATGGTGCACTGATAGAAAACTTGGGAGGAAAGCAACAATTGCAAGGTAATCAAAGTTGTTCGGGAAATATGGTAGAATATAAAAGTTTTGTGCTTTCGTAATGTTATTCTTCTTTGGATGGTGCTTCTTGTAAATTTTATTAGCCTACACGTGGAAAGACTATGATTTTGTCAAATGGAATTATATTCCTTTTTCTGATATTCTGTTTGCAAACATCTTCCTTTGCGGTCTTAAGAGTTTGATGTTCAATTCCATGACAAGGGTTTATATTCTGTATGTTGAACAGCCTGATCAATAGTGATACAAATTTGTTTGCATTCATCTTGGCTGTATCTGTCCGTAGTAATTGTAATTATTTGGTTTTATTTGTATCTGTCCCCTTTGTTAACAACTATGTATGTGTATATGTAGGTTTTTGTTTAATATTCTTGCATGGTAATTTTAATATAAATTCAAAAGTGCAAATGGATATTGTTTCAGGATTTTGTTTTCTATGCCCCTTGAAGAACGTGTTCGGAAATTGCTTTGTGAGGTTTGTTGCAAGTTCAGACAATGACATTTCTGGCTATTCATGAAGTTGCTGCCAGATCAAGCTATTTATTGATATATAGATTTATCCTTTGAGGGGTGTTTATTTTTTATATATGTGTCTGTTTATTGCTTGCTTTTGTGTGTATATTTCTGTAAAGCAAGTCAATAGAATCAATATGCATATCACCTGTGTCTCATCTTGTTTTTTATTGAGGCTTCTGATCTTTTATCAATCCTTGTTATATTGTGGTTATCATGGATTTTGTGTGAATAGGTGGAAGTATGTCTAGGCAGTGGACTATAAGCTTGTAGTAAAAGGAGTTGACAGTGTTTTGAGTTTCACGGTTAAGTCATGTTTCCTGGAGGTCACAGTAAAGTTAGCCAAGAAGAATATTGTCTTATCTAGTTTTTAGGTCTAAATCCTGAGGACATAGAAATTCAGTTAGTATAATGCCTTGGTTATTCCTAAGAAAAATAAAAGTTTGATCTTCTTATTATGAAAGTTTGCCCTAGTACCGTAAATACCTGGCTTCTCTACTGCTCTAGAATATCGGAGAAGGGATTACAATAGATATAAATATTGTTGGATTCCATTTTGGCAGTTTAGGATTTTTATTTTATGAGGCACTTGGCGAGGCTCTGATGGTGGTGAAACTTAGATATAAATATTGACTGATTCATTAGTTTAGAATTTATAATGTTGGTTTAGGAGTTATGGTGTTGGTCAAGTTTATAAATTAGCCAATGAACCTCTGGGACTACAAGAATTGATCAATGGTAACTTTCATAATATTTTGTGATTTTTGCACAAAAGGCTATCCTATACCTGGTCTTGTTATAAATAGTTGTCTTCTTTGGGAAGAATTTTTTTTTTTCTTTTTTTAATTTATTTTGTGTGGCGGGTTGCTGAAGGCCTAAGGGGATATGTTTATTTTTCTCATGACTAGGATTCTATTATGCACTGCTCCTAGTTCAATGTATATCTTTATCTTTCTTTTAATTTATTTTGGTCCTGGGTACAGCACAGTATCACGCTCCTAAGTTGTGACTTGAAAGCTAGATGTCATAGGATGTACATGGGCCTTCACATCTTCTAGTGCTCAACTGAACTTAGGGTTGTATGATGTATGTATTATTAAAAATGCTTTTGTTCTCCTAAATTATATCTAATGTACTGTTGATACTTTTTCTTTTTTTGGATTATGAACCGCCTGTCCTCTTTCTCAATTCAGATCTTTCTTTCTTTTTTTTTTTTTTTTATTGAAATATGATGCAATTTCGTTCAAGAAAGTTTTTACCCGCAAGAAGGGAAAGCATTCTCTTTGGTGTGAAGGAGAAGGCAGTGGACACGTGGCTGCTAATGAGTGATTTCTCTAGAAGAAGTTTGTTAGACGGTTATGTAAATAGTGGAGAATAAATACAGGAGGTTGGAGGGGATCGGTAGACAATTATGTGGAAATTTTATTTGGCAGGTCGC